ACTTAACAGCCCAAATAAGCTTTTCAAAATTCTCAGTAAACATAAATGATGGGACACAAACCAAATATATTTCAATAATTGTCCGATTCTATATTTCTCTGATGATAGTAATCTTACTAGTTATCTATATTTTCATCCTCCAGGCAGTAGTAGACACACATACACTGGGTGCATTTCTTCTACATTATGCATTGTTTAACCAGATTACAAAACTACTTAAAATACATTTTTAATGACTTGTCTAAAAGAGGCTTGGAATGAACAAAATACAACAATAAACCCCATTAGTGGAAATACATGCGAGACAATTTGCTAAAGGAAATGGAGGGCTGGACATCTGTCCCAATAAACAAGGACATTGTTGCTGTGATTGAAGATGTTCATGAAAAACATTATTTGTATAATTTTGGTTTCATAATTTGTAAAAATATTCTACTATTAAATTCTGTAATATATTAAATTATTGATGTACATAAATTATCATGAGTGGTTTCGTAGAAATTATTATGAATACAAATTACGTTTATGAAAATTTGAGCTAACCATCAGTCTTTGGTTTCAATCCTGATGAGGAAAATGTTGCAATAACAATTTTTTTTTAATTTTTTTGAAATGTTTTATGTTATATTATGATTTCATTGTTCAAATAATTTTGAGTATAGGCCTACAGTACAGTTGAATGTATTGTTTTAATGCTTTTAATTTAAATACAACACACCTATTGTAATGTTTTATTTCACTTTAATGATGTAATTTTGCTTAATTTTGATTTTTGCAATACTTTTTCTCTACCAAATAAATTTCTATTGACCAACATACTTGTATCGTCACCTACCAAATAAATTTCTATTGACAACATATTTGTATCACCCATAAAAAGGGCTTTTTTTCATTACTACATACTGAAAAAAGTCATATTTGAAAGAATGTTAATATAGTTTTATAGTATATCATTAATTCACAAAATAAAACACAAAATAATTTATTAATAAAACGAGACAAGATATATTTTTATATTATAATTATTTATATTTTATATATTTCTAATCCAACAGCAAGTGACTTGCCACCTATAGGATAAAAAGTAGCATTTCATTTAAACAAGGCTCTATCATTATTCTTGAAAATGATCAAATAGATCAAAACGTTGAATCTCAAAATGTCTGTCTCTTTTCGGAGTTACTACTGTCTTTTCATTTTATTTATGGCTCTAGGAGTTATTTTTAGTCATCTTGGTAGTTAAGCATCTTAACCACCAAGATACATTTCCACTTAAAATATCTTTTTCACAAGGCACTAGAACAGCCTCCTAAAAATAAATAAATTTCTTTCTCATTTAGAATTAGAACCCAGGAAAACAAAGAGCATAAATGCATAAATCTTCGAGGCTGACTGAGTGAGTGCTCTCTTTAATCAGGATAAATGTTACGTGTATCTGTATATCTACGTGCAATATACAACTCCTCTCGGATCTATTTTTACATGCAGTAAACCCAGTGGTATATTAATCTAGACACACTCTAATGCAGTCCTAATTAGGTCATTAGGTCACATGGTTAAAGGCTACTAAAAGTGTTTAAATATATTCATATATGCATTCCTATTTTCTACAGTATTATTATGAATATGTCTGACAACTACGATATATTCTTTTGTGAAATAATTTGAATTCTATTTTAAATTTTTATTGTGTTAAATTTGGTTTGTAGTTTTTTACACCTAGTCTATTAAAAATTCCTACTGATTAGTTTATGAATGTTAAAGTATTGTGATACTTAATGGTAATCTACTTTGTAGGCTGGATTAGTAGGATAAGTCCACATTGTTGAGTTTGCTTCATTAACTATAAGCAAGTCATTTGATGATAGCTTTCTTGAGGGGTTTCCCAACATAAGCACAAGGTTTAGTCTGTCTATTCAGAAGCTAGAGGCCTTCTGGTTGAACTAGAAGCTGGCAACTCTAGACAAGTTTATATTGTTTGATTGATTTTCTTGTGTTTTATCTATTTTATGTTGATTTCATTGATTTTGAAGTCATTTTTTTGGTTATGTACTTAACATTCTTTTTTCTTCGTTCTTATAGATGCACCACCTACCTGTACGTGGCTGAGTGTCACTCATAAAAGTGTATCCAAATAAATTATTATTATTATTCTATTATTAGTAAATAGCTACCAAGGCTGATACTAAGCGACCCTAAACTGTTCATAGACTATAGACTTCCGCTAAGCCGTTCCCCTTGCATATTGGAGAGCTTTCGATTTGCACGAAGACAAGGCGCTGGAATGGAATTATTCATGCGTGACCGTCCTACTGGGTGTCCTACGTTCTCTGCATACGTAGATTTGGCCAAATTGCATCCTAGAAGCCACTCGACGAGGAGAACTTAACATTCTTGCATGCGCAAATGACTTGATGTCATTATGTTCTATGTCCTACTGTCGTCATGCAATTGCAAACTCCGTATTGTTGCTAAGTTCCCAGAGTGTTTATGCACGTAAAATCATGCATTTTTTGTGGACAAGACGTGTTTTTGTGAGACAACCACTTACTCCTGGTTGTGTCTTTATTGGTCAGTTATTAAGCTGCATTCATTCCGGAAAGTTTCACTAGCCTATTATACTGTATCTTTGCAGGATTATCTTTGAAGTGAATCATACAATTTTGAACAGAAAATATAATTTAAATATGTAGACCTACCTTATACAATTTATTTTTTTTTTTAAATCAATACAAATAAAAGGATTCATAATTTGATAAACAACCCATGTCAATGTGTTTTGTATCCTTGGTCGGTAAAATTCAGTATTTTCTGAATTAAAATATTGTATTGTAAATGTTAGCAAAACCATGTCAACATGAAACAAAATATAATTCTATTATTCAAATAAAACTTGTACAAAGGCATGAATAGCAGCCTTTTTAAAATTTTAAAATCCATCAAACCAAAAATGCCATCCAAGTTTAACCTTGAGTTCAATTTACAGTAGGTGTTGAATAATTAAGTAATTAATTAGCTATCACTTCAAAAATTAATCCTATAATAGATAATTTATCACTTAGTAAAATTACGTTAAGTGGAATATTAATACCTTTTATCAGCCATCTGTATATCTTACATGATAAACCCATGACTTGAAAATCCATGGGGAGAATATTATTCACCCGAAGTAGAAAATGTTGAATTTTCTGGTCCAATTCATTCTAGTCTAGTTGCATAATCTGTGAAAAATCTAACTGTAATTAACAAATTCTTTAAGTCTAAAGCAAGAATTAGCATATTTTTCTCATTTTTGCAAAAGATAATGTACTTTAGAAGTTCAAACAATTTCACTTAGAATTGTTTCTTAGCCTATACTGTAGGCTTACCCTGCGGCTTAAAGTGAAACAAAAAATACATCTCAGTTCATGGAGCATTTTAAACATTGTCAGATGTTAGGCATAATTTAATATTTAACATCAGATTTGTATTATTATTAGCGAACAGATACCCCTTTTAAAAATGGAATAATCCAATTTCATACTTCCAGTTATAGTCAGTCATAATAATTATGCATATTTCAACAAAGCTTTTATCTTTGTTGAATTTAGTAGTACTTTTAGGAAATTATCTGCAACATGTTAAATAAATGAATTACCTTTGTTAGGAGAATGCCCTGGGGATATTTGAGATGTCAGAGAATACAGTATTTAAAGTGACATTTTTTGCATAAATATAGTAACCTTCTAAAATCTGTCTTGAAAATGATGGATTTTCATTTTGAATTAACATTGATCATGAATTTGTAAGATGAAATGTGATTGAAAAAAATAATATTGCTATGTTTGTTTCATTGATGGTTACCTCTTAACTATGACAACAAAGACAATGATAATGACAGGAGCCTTAGGATACACCATTGTAAATGCAAAAGTAGATAATGATGATAATGATCAATGATGATGATGATGATGATGATGAAGATGGAAAAATGATGATGATGATGATGATGATGATGATGATGATGATGATGATGATGATGATGATTTCTGTATTGAGGGTCCCTAATGATCAGCTCCGGCTGGATAGACCACCCTCATAAAAGATTGCTGAAATAAACCAATAAATAAAATAAACAAATAAATAAATATAAATAAATCAATAAATCAACGACAAAAATGAGGATTAACAAGGTGATATAATGAAAATATGGATATGAATGATATGTAAAGGAAAATGATGCAGATGAAAGTGGTAAGAATAATGATAGTGCAATGTGATGAAAATAACAACACAATTTTTTTTTTCTAAGAGACATACTTTGAACACAAAGTGCCTTACAGTACAACATATGGTTGAACTTAATACAACACGCATTCCAACATGTTCCTTTTAAACAGCTCTGTACCCAGAATTTTCCATGGTTTATGACTATACCCAGTAAAGCTTACATATTCAAAGATCTCTATAAATTTAATGCTTACAGAAATAGAGAGAAATATGAAGAAAAAAAAATTCAAATAACCTAATTTTTAATACTGAAATAAATTAAAATATGATTGTACACATACAGGACATTAATACCCTACAGATGTCCAAACATATTCTTTTTGAATTTGGTAGGCTGCTAAATATCTTTTACTCACATGGAATAAATGCCAAACTGCAGATTGGTATTACACAGATGTTTTGGCCGACATTGTGAATTAGTTTAGGCGAATTGTCGCAAAGAATATATTAGAACTACAATGTAGTGAATCTGGCAGTAGAATGATTAAATTCAAGTGCTCTAAATTGTTATAAAATACTACTTCATTCTAAGTGTACAGTTACAATATTTATTTCAATAATCCCTTGCAAACCATATTGTGTATATATCCAATCACATGTTACATAGGTTTAGATTTTAACTTTGGAATGGCAGCAGAACAAATCAGCCTGGGCAACGAAGCCATATTTTATTGGCATCACGCAAGGTAGACTAACAGTGTCATAATCAGACATCAACATAAATATATCAACTTACCAGTATGGCAATCCAGACCGTGAGATCCTCTGCCAAACTTAAGTTTCCTTAGTACAGTAGATCTAGTCAATAACTGCTTGGAATATCTGAAGAGATAGAAAAAAAAAACCCAAGCTGGCAGTTATAAGGCTGCTCTTCTATGCAGAGTGGCAGAACCTATGTGTACACCTTAAAAATAATCAGTCGGTAAACATTTGAATGTTTGTTCAATGAGATCAACAGACTACCGTAGGCCACAGGGCAGGTACAACTAACAAAAGGTACCGGTAACCTCATTTCTTTTTTAAAATTCAGGTTAGCTTTTTTCAAATACTGTAAAGCCTCGAATCAAAGCCCACTGAGCTTAATCTCGAGATGAAGCCTGTCTAGGATTAAAGACCCCCTTTTTAGTTTGCAAAATTAGCCTTGAAAAGAAGTCCATCTCAAAAAGAAGCCCATGGGCTTCTTTTCGAGATATTACAGTCACATACGCTGTACATGAATTTCAGAAAACAAAATAAATTAAATTAAATACAAGCCTGGTTTATACAGTAGTTTAGGTGATTTAACGCAAGTTAAATACACTCCATGATACAGATTGATGTTACAGTTGCCTTATATATTGTTTTATAATACAAATTTACAGAATTTGCAGTATTTATTTTGAAAAGAAGCCCCCTCTTTACTTTGCAAAAAGTCTCGAAAAGAAGCCCATCTTGAAAAGAAGCCCATCTCGAAAAGAAGCCCACCAAAAGTTTGCTAAGAAAAGAAGAAGCACAGGGCTTCAATTCGAGGTTTTACAGTGCTATCTTGCTCCATTTGAATTTGAGATTTGAGTAGGAATAGAGTATGCTGTCCAATTAAAAAAATAAAAAAAGTTACCAACTTTTGTCTGGCTCACTATGTATCCACTATGCAATAGTCAATAAATTTTGTTTTAAAATTATATAGTAAACGTCTGTTGATTCGCAACAGAAGATGTTAAGAATAAAAAAAATAATTCCAAAAAGGTTGTTTTGTTGTATTGTGTAATACAAATTAATTGTTTATTAAATAAAACAATGAATAGAGTGCATTCAACGAAGAGTGAATTTGAACATTTTTAGTCTGTTTAGTATCAAGAATGAGTTAATGTGATGATTTTCTATTTACATTGCTGACCCTACATTAAAGAATAATTACTACTTACTGACTTTATTTGTTACTTCTAGTCTTTCAAACCTAAATTTACCTGAATGTTGGGGAACCAATGCAATTATCTGGAAAAATTATAATGTAATGTTGTGCTTGAATGCACCCTCAGTGCATAGACTTGCGAAAAAGAAAAAAAAAAGCTTTTATAGGTTACTACTATACTGCACTATTTCACCTCTAGAATTACAAAGACTGCAAATACAGAGCATAAATAGGAACAAGTTGCAGCAGTAGAGTAAATCATCTGCAATTAATATGATCATCAAATCATCTTTAACGACAGCTGATTGCAATGACTACCAGAGAATTCAGGAAATTATTCTAAGCCAATCAAAAGTGCATTAAACCACAATTGGTTCCTCTAGTAAAGATATCATACATATCAGTCCAATAAGCAACAAAAGTAAAAAAAAACCAAACTTGTACAGTATAATCTAGCCAGCAGATACACAACTTTGCAAATTAGGCAAGACATTTTTTTATACATTTTTTCGAGAACTCATTATTTTTTTCAAAGATCTTTAGAGGAGAACGGATAAATAATAAAAATAAAATTTTATTTTCTTATTAAACAAATGGTTTTGCCAAAAACATCCAGATGGAGGAGAAAATAAAAATAAGAATTTTGTTGTTGAATGTAAACATTGTAGTAATATGATGGTTATAATTTTAATTTATATAATAAAGAAGAAATAATTACATATCTTATTTTTTTAGATTTCATGGCATCAGCGGGAGTAATAAAAATAACGAAAACCGTATATTTTTTTCAGAAATTTCCATTTTTCGCGGTGGCGGCAGAACTAATTGGCCAAAAACACAATTTTATTTTTATTCGAGATCATCAAGAAGGTCTCGTCTGATCCACTGGACTGTTTTTGATATGTACAGTATGTTTTATTCTCTGCTTATGGATGTAATGAATACATTGATTGATTGACTGAATGAATGTTTTAAATTCTAGATCACTGTTTCCCACTGTTCTCCCTCTTTCGCCATCAGGCATTATAAGCAATGTAGGAGGGGCAGCTGACTATTTAGAGTTATAGTGAATTTTTACTTAAGCTGCCCCTGACCATCGTTATTTGATTATGTATTCTGTTTTTGGTCAAATAAATAAATAAAATGAATGAATACATGAAATGTAATTTTCTAATTACAGTTCATTTATTGGATTTTCTATGGAGGAAAACATACCAAAATATAGTATATTCCTGAAATGTGAAATGCCCTCAAATGATTACCGTATATGCGGACTGAACGCTAAAATGGACTGTTCAAGACAAAAGGGATGAAATGGCCCCAAAAACCATGGCATGGCCAACAATTAAGATGAAAATTTCCAAAAAAAATAGAATGACATTTTCCCCTAGCCAGAAACCAGGCCTACGTGTCTGTAGAGATCAGTATCAAAGTAAGGTTCAAATCTAAATTACATGCTCTCTGCTCCCATGGATACCTCCATGATGCTCCTAATTACTTCCTTTGTGGTCAAATCAGAGTTGCCTTTTTAAATCAAGAAAAGAATTCGGAAGTAGATTAGTTGTACAGTATGAAATCCTCCAACATATCAAACTACGTTTTAATGAGTCTACACAACAATTACAAAAGAATTGATTTTGCCAAAGGGAAATTCTTTTTTTTTTTATTTATTATAAATTGTTCTACTCAAATGCACAGAGCTGATAGAATAACATATTATTTGCTAACAGTTGGTCCAATTAGAACAAGGTCTGTAGAGACTCACACATGGACAAACTTCTAGCTTCAGGGTTGGGAATGCGATTTTCGTTTGACATGAACTAGTTAAAAAATGCATTGATCTCTCTTAAGAAAATTTATTTCACCGTAAAAAAAAACATATGCTCTGCACAGACACAATGCTGATTGAGAAATTTATAAACATCTGTAAATTTATAAACTTAGCCCAAATAATTCATCTGCCTGGAAATCAAAATAAACATATGTCAAAAAGAAATTTCCACAAAAACCTCACTTAAAATGTATAATTAAATAGAAACCAGAAAAAGACGTACAACATCTTTATTACATTTATAGTAAGTATTTCAATATCTTTGTGTTTAATTCTTTTCATCCAACAGACAGTAAAATGATAAATGTTTTTTTTCTGAGAATTTGCTTGTTTGGTTTGCCTACTAAGTGAGATGCAACAACGAGCTGGTAAAGACAGATCAAACTTGCTGTCACGTAATCAATGACATAAGTTAAACAAGGAGATATGGAATGGGTACTAAAGTATACAATTTGGAAAGAATTTACCTAAGCATTGACAGAGTTGCATGGAAAATGTCTGAGCCGTTCTGTGTCAGATGGGCATTTAAAAAAAATTGTATTAACCAGTTTAAATTTATATATATTGTTTCCAGGCAATATACAAAAAGACAAAACAAGGTTGAGGATTAGGTAGAAGTAAACCTAATTACTATTGAGAGGCCCTCCTAACAATGAAACAGGTCAAAACTCACATTAAAAAAAGACTCCAATAGAAAATTTTAAAATACATAATAATGAGCCACCAAAGTAAAGGGGAAGAAATGAGTAGTATTTATTTTATCTTATAAAAGTTTGGTGCACAACCTGGGAAGGCAAGATAGCCACATAGTTGTTTGACCAGCGGCTAATAATTAGTCTCCCCTTTAAACAAACATCAAACGAATACAAACTGATACAAACATGGTCCTTAACTCGCCTAACTCTTTTGAGAGGGTCATTCGACGAGCTGAACGTTTTTTGTTATTATAAAAAACCCGAATTCAATACTCAATACTGAGCCCTGGCGTGCAAAATGCAGGAACCATAACAATAAGCCAAACGCTCAGCTCAAAGTCACATATTGATGCCTCTCATATTTATTTCTTCCAACTTCATCAAATCCATCACATCCTGTGATACATTACCATGACAACGTTAAGCCATGTAAAATAAAATAATTGGTTAGCATCCCCTCCCTACCATCATAAAGGCCACCGACCCGATTTTTTAAAATTTTTTTTTTTTTGACAATACGCTCACAAACTCAATTTAATATAGGTTTGTTTACCACCCGTCCGCACACTATCCAGTCCACTTGCAGTTCTATGCTCTACTGTTGTTCTATAGGCCTATACTGTAGCCACATATGGTATCCATGATGCCTGTTGTGTTGAGGAGTGAATTGTGCATGATAATACATAGAGATAATTGCATTATGACGCTGTTATTGATAGGTAAAGTTTCTGCTTGCTGTAGATGCTTGTATGTAATTTTGGTCTCTGTTGTTTTATTCTTCTTTTTTTGCTGTTTTTCCTTGCGAAACTCTTTTTTCATGTTCGATGCAAAAAAAAAAAAAAAAACAAAACTCCCTCCCTACTATGAAAATTGATAACATAAGGATGCTAAACAATTGTTTTATTTTACATGGCCATAATGTGCTTTATCATATGTCTGGAAAATTCTTGCCCATTACTGCCTACTTAACATACATTTGGCAAATTTTTGTTTGTGTGTGAACTGAATCTTAGATTAGATCATAGCTGCCTCTGTCTTGTTAGTGTTACCCATTGATGAGAATTAAAGAACAACAAAATATTATTTTAATCATATTAAAAACCACTGGGATTTTTAAAAATCCTGATTATAAACAATCTCTTCATGAGCCTGCTATCATTAACATCATCATCATCATCATTAAAGCAAGAACCACCTGGTCTGTGGAGATATGACAAGTCATGTTAGCAAATTTTACAATTTCATTTCTCTATCTGGAACTGTCTATTTTGAACTCTATATTTGGATTTTTGTCTTTCTCGACTCAAGTCACTTGTATTCATTCTATTGTTAAACTTGATTTTAGAACTGAGAATTTCAACTTTCCAATGAATTATTCCATTTTTATCAAAAATAGATTTCAAAA